CCGCCGCGCTCGCGCGGCGCGGCAGGGGCGGCGCCGCTGCGATACAGGCAGCGGCGGGCGGGGTGCGTGCAGTGCGCAAGGCAGGGCTTCTGGAGCAAGCACTGGTTTTGTGCCGGCCACCTTGTGGCGTCAGAGCTGGGACTTGCGTGCTGCTTGTCCACCCGAGCTGCCACAGCGGGCAGCCAATCCTCTATCATTTGAGCAGACTGAAACACTTCCTCACTAAAGCTTCCGTTGCAGGCAACATGCTTCGGATTGGCACAGCAGACGAAGTAAACCCCCTATCCAATACACCCCACCAGCCCCTCCCTCGCGCTCACCTTCATCTGCGGGCCTCTGCTCCTCAAAGTAGTGGCGCAGCTGGCTGGTCCAGCTGAAGCAGCCCGGCTGGCCGGCGACGCCCTCCTCTGCCGCGAGCGCCGCCGCGACGTCGCGCGCGTGGACGTCCATCACCACGAGGGCGCTCAGGGTGGCCCTGGGGCGACGGGGGTTTGATGCGAGACGCGGCAGAAGGGTAGGCGCAACTCATCACACGCACACCTTGCTGTTGCAACCGCCCAGCCCAGACCGAGCTTACCCAGGTTGCATGCTGTCACAAAAAGAGCAAATTGTGCACCCCTGTCACAACAGCAAACCGCAAACCCAGCGCATCCACACACAAGAAAAAGCTAGCTGCGAATCGGCAAATTTTGCTCCAGTGAACTTATCGGCCGACCGTCACCTGTTGAGGGGCGACAGCTCCCCCCGCACCAGCCCCACCACATCGTTCAGCTGAGACCCGCAGCGCGCGGCGCAGCCCGCCAGGGCGGACGGGTCGGACGCGCCCGCGCTGATGGCTGCGGAGACATCCTGCGGGCCAAAGTGGTTTTGGAGCGCAGGCAGGGCACGATCCCTTCGAGGTCGACGCCACATGCCGGGCTTGCTCTGACAGGCCGGGGCTGCAGCCTGCAGTGGCAGCTAGGACACACCAGGCTGCAAGCAGGGAGAGTAAGGTGGACTGTTGCGTTGGCCCAAGGGCCGCACCTGGGTCCAGAAAATAGCGGTGACGGCCAGAACCACCTGCCCCGGCCACTTCAGCACCCACTCTCCCCTGCGCTCCGGCGCGTATGCCGCGACGCCCTGCGTCACCACCTGGCGCATTGACTCCACCATGCCGGATTCAACCTGGGACGATGGTACAGTTTGGTTCCGTGGCAGGCGTTGACCACGGTTTGACCGGCTGGCTTTCCGCAGGTACCGAATGAGCTTGGTAGGGAGTGCTTGATGCAGAGGGGATTTGCATTGTGTGGAGCAAGAGTACGAGATGTTTCAAAAATTCAAGGAACACACGCATAAACAGCTGGATCCCACCTGCACGAGCCACTTCTCCACTGCGCCGTTTGCGGAGGCGGGCCGGATGCGCGTCGCCAGTGGCACGAGCTCGCCCTCAATGGAGACCATACCGCTGATGTCGCCGTTCGCCTCAAACCTGTTGCAGCGCGTTGTGCGTGCTGATAAGGTGGTAAAACCACTAAACCTCACTTGGACCCCATAAACCTGGCAGGCACGGCGCAAGCAGTCTGCTAACGCAGCGGGAGGGGAGGCACGCGCCAATCAACCAAGCCCCACTGCGCAATCACCTGAGGCGATCCACGCCCTCGAAGCACTTTTTGAGGTGCGGCTGCACCCTGGTGGGGTCCTTCGTTTCTGATAGAATCTCGAGCATCTCGTCATTGGACAGGAAGAAGAACCGCGGGAAGGCCAGGCGTTTGACCTCCAAGTATGCAGCCAGGCCCTGAGATAGGTGATGGCACGGAAGACCGCGGCGTTGGCCCCAAAGAAACCAGCGGCTTTTGCTTGGGGGGCTGGGAGGGGATGTTGTGGCAGGCTCAGCAACCAACACCAGACGCTGCAAGGCCCAGGAGTGCTGCGAGTCCTGCGCTGCCACTGCATGCTCGAGCTCTGCGGGCCATGCGATGTTTAAATTCACGGCAGCGCACTCGCCTTTTGGATCTGCTCCAGCAGAGCGTTGGCCTCCTCCAGCGCCGCCAGGCGCTCCGCGTCGGCCGCCAGGCCCAGCACGCCCGGGCTGCCGTGAGCGGCATCCATCAGGCCGCGCCATGTCGCGTCCACCTGCAGCGGCGCCGCGGGCTGGGGCTGAGACCAAAGCAAAAATCAAGTCAAAAGCGACCATCCTCTCCCGGAAATAGGCCATTGATGCCTTCAACGTACGTGCTTACCGGCTGCACAATATCATGCATTAGGCAAGCAGACGGGGTCCGCCAGATGTACAGATGGTTGATGCTACACGGGGCACCGAGCTGGTTGTACATATTGTCACCTGCTGGAACTTGTCCCCTTCCTCAGGCATCTGCGCCAGGATGTCTGGACTGCTGAAAATCGGCTCCAGGTACTGCCAGGTGGACTGGCAGGACAGCCAGTTGTCCAACAGGTCCTGGTTTTGGCGGGAACAGCGTTCAAACAGATTATGATCAGTGACGGTTTGTGACGGGTGCGTACCAGGAGGCATGCCACCTGAGTGCGGCCAAGCAGGCTGCTTCTTGATGTCGCCCAAAACAGCTGTGGTGCGGCGCTGTGGTTTGGTTTCCCTCTTACGACCCCTACCACACACCTGAGTTTGCAGCAGCAGCTTCTCCCAGGCGACAGCCTCGGCCTCCAGCGGCTTCAAGAATGGCGACGAACGCATCGTCTGGGCCTGAGAGACCAGAGGGGGCGGCGGGGATTAGAAGAGATGGTGGCACACACACACTCTCTCTCTCTCTCTCTCTCTCTCTCTCTCTCGTTACCACGCACACGCACATACTTACGCATGCACACGCACAAACATACATACACACACACACACACACACACACACACACACACACACACACCCACACAATCTCTCTCTCACACACACTCACAAACACACGCGTCAACACACACACACACGCACAAACAAACAAACAAACAAACAAACACACTATCACGCACGCATGGGCGCGTCCCCGCACCTTGACTATGTGGTCGTCCAGCAGCGCCTGCACGTCATCCGTGCCGCCGATGACGTAGGTGCCCGTGTCCCTGTAGCCCACCACCCTGAACTCCAGGTCCTGCCAATCAGCCTTCATCTTGGCCAGGGCCTTCTCCAGGCTCAACTCCTTGGAGGCCTGGGCATTCGGGATGGGTGATGATTCAGCAGAGGGGGCGGGCGGTTGGTGGTTGAATTGCTTCCATGCAGGAGGGCAGGTGGCCAGGTGGAGCCCATTGTTGGCGAACGGAGGGCAACGCTTTGGTGTGTGCAGGAAGGGGTGTATGGATTACTTGGGTCGCCTTGACTTAGCTGCAATATCTGCTTTCAATACATTGCCATTATCACGACGACCAGGGGCTCAATAATGCGGTTCGAGCAGTATGAAAAGCAGGGATGTATTTGGGTGAAACACAGGGTAGGCCTGGGTCAGGTGCGCCACATGGGCAGCAGCCAGGCTCCCCCAACTGGGTGAGCTGTCACGCCATACCTGGCTGCCTATGGCCTGCAGCTTCTCCAGGTTGTCCAGCAGGTCAAATTGCAGCAGGTGGCGGATGCTGAAGGGCGCGTAGCCTGGTGGGGTTTGGAGGGTGCGGGGGTGGCGGGATGCGGGTGTAGTCACAGCGCGGGCTTTTTGGGGTGGGGGGCAGGGGTGATGAGGTTGTGTTGGGGTTTTGGGCGAGGCAGCGCAGGCAGGGGGTGGGCACACACCCCGACCCTCTGCTCATTGGCAGTGGGCTGGGCAGCTGGGGTGGAGGGCAACTAGGCAGGTGAGGCGCAGCACAAACGACTCACAGACAGGCTCGCAACCACACAAGCAACCGCCCGTGACGCACGAATGCTTGCTGCTGCTACGTGCATCGCGCTACTGCTTGCAAAACCTTTCCGATCAACCAAGACTGCATACCTGTGCCGTTCTCGTTGCCCTCTATCTCAGCGCCTATCAGGGCAAATATCTCCTCCCAGTGGCGCATCTTCAGGGCAGGGTTGGCCAGCTCCTCAACCTGTTCAGGAGGTTGGTGTGCATTCCACCTCAGCCCCCCAAGCGCGCCGTGGCAAGCAATGGGTTCCGCTGGTGTCCATGCGCCCTGGCAGGACCGTGCTTGCGCGCACAGGCGCACGCAGCTCTATTTCAGCCAGCCCCCTCGCGCGTTCTGAAATGTGACCGCCCCCTCCCCCCCTCCCATGCCGTCCTCTAGGCAGTGCATCAGCGTTCCGTCCCCAGCCCTCCCACGGGACGGCATCTGGAGGCTCTGCAAGCCGAAACGGTGTGATGCTGACGCGGCGCGACGCTGCTGCAGTGTAGCCGTCACCCTGCAAGGGGGTATCACTCTCACCAGGGGCATGATCTCTTTGAAATCGTCCACCACCTCCTTGAGCCGCACGCCCACAGGATCCTGCTCGTTTTGAAAGAATCAGTGAAAACGGCGTCATTCAGCAACGCTTTTGGTGGCTCCATTTTGTCCATTCACGGGCCAGGCCGGCTCTGGCGAGGCCGGGGCGGCGCCTGGCGCGAGATCCTCCTGCTGAGCTGCTTGGCATGAGGTGAGGCCGGCGCGATAAGGCGTCCCGCAGCCTCTGTGGGGCGTGCCGTGACTCACGTCTTTGTGTGCTTTGGATGCCTTGTAGGCCTTCGAGGCGTATTCCTCCACCTCGGCCCTGTCGCATCCCAGGAGGAATGTGGGTTGTACGGCAGTGGCCAGCAATAATCACGTCTGAGTGTGTCAAAGACTGCTGTTCGTGCAAAATGAATGGCGAACACCTGATCTCAGGAACACCGCACACGCTTGCCCGTGCACATGACACATCAAACAACCCCACAACGCGCCGCCCTGCACCCTGGTCTTCCCAGGGCTCTCCGTAGTCACATCGAAAGCACTGGGCAGATTGATTGCAGTGCAGGGGTTGCGTTGATGACAGGTGGGCTGTGATGTGCCACAACGTATGCACCTGATGGCCTCTATCTCCAGCAGCAGTCCGCCGTCGTCATCCAGCACCGCCTCCTCCGTCCATGACGCGCTGGAGGCCATGAAGTCGCGCAGCGACAGCCACAGCTGCATCGTACACACGGCAGGGCATTGATTGCCAGGAGAAGAAGGATAAAGGTGACGCTTTGTTCAGTTGAGGAGGCAAGGTAGGGCTAGACGAAGCGTGGCAACGACAGACGCTTTCAGTGGAAGCGCAACCATCCCTAGGAGGCTGTCAGAGCTGTCTGCCTCCTCATCTGCGAGTAAAACCTGGGATGGGGCCGTGAAAGGTTGCCGGGCTAGAGTATGGAGTCGTGGTCCCCCGCCGCTCTGCCGGGCTAGCAAGTTCTTGGGTCCTGCCCACCTGGTATCGCGTGTTGGCCTCCTTCTCTGCCATCATTAGGGCGCCCCCCTCATCGGGCGGCTGGTCCACCAGAGACAGGTACTGCGCGTGTGTGTGTGCGGGTGACGGGTAAGCGCGTGTACATGTGCGTGCGTGCGTGCGTGTGCGTGCTTGCGTGTGCATGTGTGTGTGTGTGTGTGTGTGTG